TTATAAATTAGAAATCATTATGGAGGTTCCTTTAAAGATTAGGCATGCAACCACCATGTGAACCAGTTATATCACTTCTCAATATTTATCTTGAAGAATTAAAGTCTCCTTTCTACAGTGATACACACATACCCATGTTTATAACAGCACAATTCACATAGCCACATTGTGGAACCAGCCTAGGTGTCCATCAATGGATGAATGGGTAAAGAAAATATGATACACACCCCCCTACACACACACAATGGAGTTTTATTCAACCATAAAGAAAAATGATATTATGTAATTTGCAGGAAAATGGATGTAACTGGACACCATTATGTTAAGTGAAATAAGTCAAACTCGGAAGGTTAAGGGTCCTGTAATGCACACCTCTAATCCAACCAGCTCAGGAGGCTAAGGCAGAAGGATTGCAAGTTCAAAGCCAGCCTCAGCAACTTAGCAAAGACCTATCTCTAAATAAAATATAAGAAAAGACTGTGGATGTGGCTCAGTGGTTATCTGTCCCCTGGGTTCAATTCCCCGTACCCCTCCCCCCAAAATAAAGGAAGGTTAAGGGTCCTATGTTTTCTCTCATATGCAGAAGCAGAGGAGTGGGGTGGAGAAGATTTTCTAAAAATCAAAAAGAGACCAGTAGAGGAAAGGGACCAAGGGATGGGAGATGGGGAGGGAAGGAGGAAGTACTGGGGACTGATACTGATATTGGCCAAATTATGCTGTTATATCATGTGTATGTATTAATATATAGCAACAAATCCCATCTATACAACAATAAGGGACCAATAAAAATGTGGAAAAAAGAGACCACAGTGATGACAATTAAAAAATGCTAATGAATAAAAAAGAAAGAAAGAAAGAGGAGGCAAAGCTAGGAATGTGAAGAAACCATAAATTAGAAACCATGCTAGAGAAATAAATGTCTTGCTGTGAACTTACCTTATTAAAATTCAAAGGTATTTATAAAGATTAAAAATTAAGGTTGGCTGGAGTTACACAGCTAGGCAAGTTCTCTGCAAACTCCATTAATAATTAAACCTTTTATAGCATTGTAGTGATTCCTAGAGGAACGCATTAAAGACACGGTGTGTCCTCTGCCCAAGGTTAGGCAAGAAGCCAATTTACTGATGAGGATTAGAATTCATGAATTCTCAGTTCAGAACATCATGTGCCTAGCATACAAGGGAGGAAAAAGTAATCTATAAGAACCTTTGATTAGAAAAGGGAGGCCAAGGAAGAGGGTGTTTAGAAGTAAGGACATTTCCATATTTAAGCTGCTTTTCGGCACCTAGGAGAGTTTTTTCTCACTTCTTCTCCTTGGCATTGTAGGTTCTGTTCATTTTGATTCGCTAATTTTGAGCAGCCTGAAACAGCTGCTCTGTCATCGTTGATGCAACTGCTTAGTAAAATACTTCAGGCAGGGATTTGTAGGTTCACTGATGCAGCATCTCCCTGTCCAATAAAAGAGACCACTTATTCCCAGGCCTGGTATAATCTTGGGGCAGGGTGGGTTGAAAGGAAAGGAGAAGAATGGAAGAAAGAATGAAAGGGGGAAGAGATGAAAAGAAAAGAGATAAGAAAGAACACATAGAAGCCAGGAGAGAGAAGGAAAGATTTTCCTGCCTACTAAGAATAACAATACACTACTTCTCATATATGGCCTCATTTCCCAGCCAAACCCATAATGCAGTGAGATTACAGACTTTGTCCAGTTTAAGAGGGAGCTAATAAATATTTTAGTTCTGGGATGATCATGACATGCATATTGGAAGAGAAGGAATGTGGCGAGACTGTGAGAGATAATTAACTGTAGAACACCCCCAAATGATCTAAATTATTTCTCTGCTCCATTTCCACAGCTTCCATCCTCAAGGTCACCTCATGGTCATAGCACCAGCCCTGCAGCTTCGGCTGCCTTCCCAGACAAAGTAGCCAATTGCGCGTCTTTCATTGTCAACACTGTTGCACCTGTAACTGCCAGAGTCCATGGCACCTGTCCAATAGACTTTTCTGCCATGAGAGAAATGTTCTGTCTGCTCTATTTTATAGCCGCTTGAAACAAGAGACTGAAATTTTAATTGTATTAAATTTTAATTCAGTTAAATTAAAATAGTCACCTGAATAACATTTTCACCTGTTCAGAAAGGTAAAATCAGAAAATTCCCTCATTTCAAAGTTAACAGTGGCTGTAATGAGGCTGGGATGAGAGTGGAATGAATAACTGTTGACATAAGGTATAAATATCTGAAACCATGCTAGTGACTTTGTGATTATTGTTGTATTTAGGCCTCATAAAAACTCCAGCTCCACTTCCCCTTTTCTACAGATGCAATAACTAAGGCTCAGTTTGAGTAATTTGGCCCAAATCTTAGACTACATAGTAGTAGAGTTGAGTCTTGAACCAGGGGTTCTCTGACAGCAGATCCTTGGCTATCTCTAGGTTCACAGGGAAAGCCTTGGAGATACAGGAAGATCAGGTCAGGATTCCTAGACCAGGCACCCAAAAGTTGAGGAAAAGTGTCAGCTGGAGTGACCTTCCATTATCTACCCCTACCTCTAACTAGTCCTGTAGATTTTGTGCATGATTTCCTTTCCCTTATATTAATTGGAAAATATACTTCTTTATTTGCAAAACCAATGTTTATTCATTATTTATAAAAACCCAGATTTCTACCAAAAGTACCAAGAGCAGAGAACCAAAAAAAAAAAAAAAAATTCTGAATTCTGCCCTTAGTCCTAAAGCTTTTCACCTCCTCTCTTCATCCTGAACTTGTGCACAATGAATAGATGCACAGACTCATTCTACTTTCCACAGCATTCACAGGGACTCTTGGAGCTGTGCAAAGAATGCACAGGATTTTTTTTTTTAAAGTTTCCCGCTTTCTTACTACAAGGAAACAACACTAAGATTCTTAAAAATAATTATAGCATTGATGGCATTTTTAAGATTCAACTATTACTCAAGCAATGTACATCTATCCTTCAATAGAAGAATAGATCTATCTAGTGAGTTTCTGTGCCTTTTGAGCAGTGAGGGTTATGGTATTGTCATGAGTTGGAGCCAGGTTCTTGACCTCTGGGATTTTAACCCCAGCTCCACTGAATGGAAGCCAGGGAGGGAAAGAACAGCCCAGACCCTGGGGTTAGCTGGCACCCAGAGTTACTGTCTAAAGTGCACTTTAGACACATCCATAGTATTTTGGAAAAAGCCTAATTATATAAAGGGGCAGCTACAAACCAAGATGCTCTTCATAATAATTTTGAGTTTCTTACATAAATGTAAGTGTGATGCACTTATGCTTATGTTATAGGAATTAAGAATACTATTTAGAATTTTAAAAATTATTACACAACCAGAGTAATTTATATTTATATCTTCATTTTGGGAGTCCTTTCTGTGAGTTATTTTCTGGGGAGAAAATCTTAGTTGAACATGCTACCTGAATTTCAACAATTTATTTTAGAAAAAACTACTGCCAATGCTTCCCTTTGTAATTTTATTTTAGGTCAATATGTTAGCCCACTGTATGCGGTTCATTACCTAGACAGGCTTCTTACCACCAATTATTTCTTCACTAGTCTTTTATCCATATGTTCCTTCCTGGTACTTGCAAAACAAATATTTTTTTCTCAAATTGATAGATGATTTTTTTTTCTGTTGAAAACATCTTAATTGAGACTTGGGGAAAGGAATTCTAAATGAATCAACAACGAGGCTAGTAGGTTTTTATTTTATTCAGACCTGACATCTCAGAAGAACTGGAAGGCTCCCTTTCCTCCTCAGTGATTGGAAAAGGCAGCATAAATAATCCAATCATCTAAAAGTTGGAAATTTACATTTAGACTCAAGAGTGCAAATGTTTTTAAAATAGCATTGTGGAGCCTTCCCAAAGCACATGCTGAAATGCAGGTTTGCTTTAGAACTGTTGTAGCTGTCATAGCCTCTGAGAGATACAGATGCTGCACAAAGGAAAATGAAAACCATGGAAGTTAGCCCCTTGGTTACCCATAGAATTCTCAAGACTTTTCATAGGGTTTGCAGACTTCAGAATGAAAACTGAAGAAGATAGCCTTTCTTCACTCTCCTCATCCATTAACACCACAGAAACACACACACACACACAAATCTTTCACGTCCCCTGATCCTCAGGAAAGTCTGGAAAGAGAATAAGGGCAGAAACAGCCACCTCGCAGAAGCAGGTCAATTGATTTCTAGTTCCCACTTTGCTACTTATTATACAATGCAATGACCAAAAAACTTACCCTCTGAATAGTTTTTAGATCTTCTAAATGAAGAGGAATTCTGTGTAAGTCAGATTTTTGTTGCTGTGACCAAACACTGGACAAGAACAACTTAGAGAGGAGGAAAAGTTCACTTTGGGCTCATGAATTCAGAGGTTCAGACTGTGGTCAACAGACTCCATTGCTCTGAGCCCAAGATGAGGCAGAGCATCCTGGTGGAAGGGCATGGCAGAGGAGCACTTCTTAGCTCTTCAGCCCAAAAAAAAGAGAAAGAGAGAAAGCAAGAAGCCTGGGGGACAACATATAATTCCAAAAAGGCATGTTTTCCAGGGACCAGCTTCTTCCAGTTACGTCCCACCTGCCTACAGTTCCACCCAGTAATCCATTCAAATGATTAATCCACCACATGCAGTAACCCATTGATTAGGTTATAGTTCTTATAGTCTAAACATTTTACCTCTTTATATTTCTATATTTTCTCACAAGTGAGATTTCAGGGGACATCTCATATCTGAACCATAACAAATTCCACAATGTCTGTGGTCCTAACCAACACTAAGGTTCCGATGTGATCATGACTCAAGGGAAGCAAGCACTTCCTTTTCTTAATATTATCAAAACTGGTCTGATTTACAAGAGAAAAATGCATTTTTGTGCTATTTCTTATGAGGAAGATGGAATAATGAGCTATTTCTTTCATCTGAGATACTCAAAAAGTAAGTTGGTCACTTAATAAGGTCTCCTTCTTTTACACCACCCTGACAGCTTTATTTTAAATTTAGTTTCTCCTTGGATTTCTGAAATGGCCCTCAGCTTTCGGCATGGCAAGACTCTTCTTTCCACAGAACAAGGAACTGAGCATTTCAGGAGGTGAGTGTGCACCGTTAGGGAACTAGAATCCTAGTCTTTGGTGCTCCACGGTCATTGTCCTGTTTATTTTCTGACACACTCCTCTCTTTTCATTTTTGTCTCTCTTCCTGCTTCTCTCTCTTTCCCCCTCTCTTTCTTTCTCCTTTCTTTCCTCTATTACTTCAATGTTAGCAATAGGAGTAAGTAACGCAATCCTTATGTAAAATACATAAAATAATAACATGATAGTTCAAAACTTATCTTGTTCAAGTTCTTGATCTATATTCAGATATGTTACTCACACTGCCTTATTGGCCTTCAGAGGTACAGTAGCAGGGTTAGAAACACCAGAAAGAAGAAAGGGTATGGTTGGTGGGAGAGGACCAGAGGGAGGATAAATAAAGAATGGAATGGTACATTCCACCTGTTTTGTCCTGACTCACCTATTCAGCCTTTGATGGAAAAGTACTTTAGAATTATGTCTCCATACTCTGCATATCTGGGTTCTAAGGCACCGATCACATCATTCTCTACATCATTAGAATTTTCTGGAGCAAATCAGTACTGCTGGTTGTTTAAAATAAAACTACATTTACTGTTTCCCAATATGATGAGGTAAATATTCATGCCACTATCCTTCCTAAAGGAGCCATGAATGCATCTGGTTTGAGGGCCATCATCCCCCTCATTCTTCATATCTCAGTGCTCAAACCACTCAAAAAGGGCACATGTAGCCAGGTGCGGTGGTGCACACCTTTGATGCCAGCAGCTTGGAAGGCTAAGGCAGGAGGACTGTGAATTCAAAGCCAGCCTCAGCAAAAGTGAGGCGCTAAGCAACTCAGTGAGACCCTGTCTCTAATTAAAATACAAAATAGGGCAGGGGGTGTGGCTCAGTGGTCAAGTGCTCCTGAGTTCAATCCCTGGTACCCCCCTAAAAAAGGGGGGCACATGTTTGTTACACCAGACTTTGTCACCACTGGAGATAAGTATCTTGGTAAAGCAAGGCTTTGTTCAGAAATAAACTGGAAATACTTTTTTAAAATCCTCTTTTCTCAATAATATTTAAACCACTGCATAATTCTTCAACTCTGACTGCTTTCATTGTAAGAACAAGGTCTGCTTGTGCAAACAGAAAGCCCTATCTCACCTAAATGTACTGAAGCTAGGCACAGGCAGACATAGTATTACAATATCACTTGGAAATCCAAAAACAACTAGTAAAATGGAGACATTCTTCAGAGAAAAAAAAATGATGTCCATATGGATGGAATACCAGCTCTGAGAGAGAAGCCCAGGAGCCAGGCATTTCCAAGGCACTATTAGGTGGCTATAGCAAATCTTATCAACTATATTCCTTTCCCACTAGGCAACAGAGGTTGTAGGCATTTTCATTAGGGATGGATCTGTCTTATAAAGGTGATTTTCAAAGCCAACCATTGATATCATAAAATGAATCAACATTAGCAAACAGGGCCTTTCATCTTTGTCTTGTCCCATCGGCTCCTCTGCCTCCAAATCTCTTGCAAGTCAAGGGAGCACTGTGTAAAAGATAGTGGGTCTGGCCTTTTGCCCACACCATGGCAAGCTGTGGTTGCCATGGCTACAGAGGCAAGAACAGCCCTTGGTTTATAGAGTTCTTAGTCTTCTGCTTACAGGCCTTTTCACTTGGCATTTCTTTTATCTTCTTCAAAACCCTGTGTGGCAGATGCAAGGTGGGGTTTACCACCACTCAGGCCAAAGCAGTGATGACTGACACAGGAGCCAACAAGCAGGACCACCCCAAAAATGTGGTTTGTGAGGGGATGGGGGTGGATCTGTCTCCATACTCTGCATATTGGGGTTTTAAGGCACTGATCACATCATTCTCAGTCTCCTGTCATTTTTGTCCAAGCGACAAGGGAATCCTGTGCTATAACAGGCAGGTGACTGGTGCAATAGGCCTCAGATCAGGAGTCAAAACCACAGGATAAACAATTTCACAGCAATGTCCATAGTGCAGTTTCCTGGGGAAGACTTGTGTGGTGGTAAAGAACTTGATCTGTGAAGGCGGACTCCAGAAGTCCAGCCTGCCCCTTCCATTTGTTAGGTGTCTAGGCCACAAGACATGCTCACAACACCTGGGCTTTGGTTATCTCATATGATGAATGGAGGGATAACATTAATAATGAAAACATTCATTTCTCAGAGCTGTGCCAATAACTTCAGGAAGGGTCAGTTGAGCCGTTCTAGAAGGGGAAGGTGGTCTGTCTCCCCAAATTCTGGCCATTACTCCTGCCCCTGTTGGCTACTGCCCTGGAGCTGTCCAGGACTATCTTCATTCTTCCCTGACCTTTTTACTCCTACCTACTTAGCCTTCATCCTCACTATCCTTCTTCTCAGGAACTACTCCTAAAATGAGACTGAGGCTGAAGAGCAAGCATATTGCTCCTGAGATGTCTTATTTTTGGAGTTTTAAAACATCTCACTATTCAGGTTGAATCCCTCCTTTTTAAAGTGTAAGTAAGCAGGTTATATGTGTTATAGTATAGTCACAAGGAAAATGAAGGCATTTTGTGAACTTTTTCTTTGTTTTAAAGAAGCAGATACTTCCATGCATTTATGCTCTGCCAAATTTATTTCAGAGATGTGTAAAGTAGCAACACAGCCCAGAATACTGCAGGATACTAAATCATTTTAGAGATACACCACAGAGGCCTCACATTGTGAAATATTTTTCCTTCCAATTTTGAGGATTTCACAAGTCATTAGAAGTAGGTAACAGCCTTAGGGACAAAGAAATAAACTTCCAATTCCCCTCACTATATGCTCCACCCTTCCACAAGGCCTGAGAACCACTCCATCCTTGGCAGTATTTTAACCACTGTGGAGTTAGGAGTGGGAGAAGAGACCAAAGTCTTTACCCTCAGGGAGCTTTCGTTTCTGCAAGGTGCTTGGCACACAAAGAATGCTCAACCACTGAATGGATTAACACATGCACTTAAATACTCATGAAGAAATCATTTCACTACATTTAAAGTAGCTATTCGTAAGAGTATAGCCAACTGCAGAGCCAAAGTTGCTTTGGTCAGAAAAAAGCAAATGAAAATCTCACTTCATTTTCTAGAAAATTCACTTGAGCAGAGCAATAACAAAAGTGCATGCACGGGAGAGAAGGAGGGAGAAAGAGAGAAAGAGAGATGCTCAAAATGGGGGCAGTTCAAGAACCCTAGGAAAGCATTACTTAGAAATTAACATAGGCTTCCGAAAGTGAACAATATAGCTGAAAGCCCATCGCACTCTTTTGAAATCTCACTATTGATTGAATAAAAGATCTTGGGCATCATTTATTTATCCTTCATTGTTAGGCAGTAATTCCTCCAACCCTCTCTAACCAACAAGCAAACCTCTTCTACAAACTTTTAACTGCTGCAGTGAGATGAGAGAAGGGAGCAAACCTTGCAAAAGAAAGCCCGACAGAGCTCTGTGCTCTCTCCTCTGCAACACTGTATTGATTTGCTCACATTCCCCAAAGATCAGAGACATTTTATAATCATGACTATAATTGAATGCCATCAGGGGTTCAAGAGGACTTCCCTCTTTAACATTTAAAGAGACAAATAGCACCAATGGTTTAAAAGCCACATAAGCTTACCAAGAAGCCTAGGAGGCCCCACAGAAGGGCCCTGCTTTCCAACTTCCTGTTTTTTAATGGTGACTCTGGGTGTCTGGTCAATAGCACCAAAAAAAATGTGAAGAAAATTCCCTGTCCCTCCCCTACGATGCCAATATCTGGCTGCCAGGATGAACTACAGACCGGAAAGAGAGCTGCTAGGGGAAGATCATTCCAGGAAAAAAACAATTTAAAAAGACTTTCACCCAAAACTGTTGCTCTGAACAAGATACATCATGACCAAAGTGTCAGGAATTTTCAGATCTACCTATTTCTAAAATCACATTCAGGTAGCACCCAGAGACCCAGAGAAAGCAGAAATCTCAGTATCCAAATAACTGTTTAAGAGTTAAGGCTGGAAAGTTGCAAAGTTATGTCTTTAATTTAATATTTTTTAAAAGACCTTGAAAAAAATCCTAAGAGTCTCCCATCCTTTCGTTTTCCTTATTGTCAATATCCTGCTGTCTCCCCACCCTTCACTTCCTTTTCTTTGTCCAGAATATGGTCAGTTGTGTAGATTGTCATCTCAGGTTGCCCTATTATCTAAGGGTTTGATTTTTTCCTATTATTACTTGGATAAACTTGAATCACAGACCTCTATATTTTCCTGTGATTTGATTCCAGCTGAGCCAAGTTGCATATGTCTTATCTTCTCTGATGCCTGTCCAATTTCCCCTATCTATTAAGCTTTGTCTAGAGCTAATTAGAGGAAAAGCCTTCTGAGATGTGTCCTAGTCCTGTATGGTGTTTTGTAGTCATCCTAGACAATATTACAGATGATTGATAGTTATCTGTTGTTTTGAGATGCATATGGCTATTTATTAATTTGATGTCTGTCATCACTCATGTTTAGATATATTTGGAAATTAGGCTTCACAGTGAGATTTTTTGTAGAAGAACTGCTGCTTGAATGATAATTTTACATGGCCACAATATTTCCTGTTTGTAAAATTCAAAGTCTCTTGCTCTTGATCAGCCTTGAGCATCAAGTCCAAATGGATATTTAGGTGGAGGTTGGGGATAGAATAGAATAAATTTCCTGTTATTGGTTGAGTAGAATCTGACTGGTCCATGTAATGAGAAAGAACAGAAAGTTGGGATAGCTAAATTGCAATTTGCCAAAAAAAAAAAAAAAACTGCTCAAATTTGCCTTAGCTCAGCAGCCAATGTCCCATTAACATACAAAGCTAAATAAAATAATCTGTTAGCGGTGATAAGCATGATTGCTGCTGGTCTGGCTATACAAACTGCATTCCATTAAATTAGGCATGTGAGATGCTAAACAAAGAGACCCAGCTCACAGTTGGAATGCATTCAAGGTTTTGGAGCAGCAGCTTTCTTAGATTAACTGGTGATGTAGTGTGGACTGTTAAAACTCCTTTGAGGGTTGGTTCTGATCAGTGCATGCAGTGGTCAGGCACCTGTTAGATTTTTCATTTATCTGAATAACACTGAAATGACAAAACTTGGAACATGCTCAGTGCACAGGTCAGTCCTCTGGATTCAACAGTGTGATGGAATTCCCCTTGTAACACTTGGTCTGAGAGGCCTCCTGGGGAACATTTCATGTGTGTTGCCCTCTTTGTTCTGTGAATGTATATTTACCTTGAAAAGTAGGGTATCTTGTTACTTGTTGTCCAAAGAGCTCTGTGGGTTCAGGAAAACCTCTTTGAGATAACTTCATGCTAAAGGGACAGTGCCTGCCTAAAAATCTTTATCCTATCTCTGCAATGCATGCCATTCTTTCCTCTGGATGACACTGCTGCTCTGAGGCAACTATTTCCTCCATTGTCTCATGGAACAATCAGAATAAAATCAATAATACAGAGTCCAACTCACAGACACAAAGGCAGACCTGCTAATAAACACAGAGTCTGGGATTTGTGGTGTCTACATGGGCGTGCCGGCTCTGGCTCTGTCACGGTCTGACCCGCACGTCCACAGCTATGCTGTCAATGAGAAGCTGTCACAGGCCTTGGGGGACACTGAATAAGGACACAGGGTCAACAGTTCTTACATTGCTGAGCAGTCAGAGCTGATTTCTAGAGCAACAGTTCTTGCTCCTGTGATGTAGGAAAGGAGCACACACTAAGAGGTATACTTCTGTGGTTTAAGAATGTCAAAATGTATTAAAGAAACACAGTTCTCACACTGAGTGTATTCTGTGTGATTCCATCTATGTGAAACTCCAAAGCCGGCAAAATGAGTTTTTAAAAAATCAGAAAAGTGATTGCCTTTTCTGGAGGAGGGTGGGTGGAGGAATTGACTGGACAGGCACAGAGGCCTAGAAATGTTCTGGATCTTAATAGGGGTTTGGGATTCACAGAAGTGTGCATCTATCAAAGGTCATGCAGTAGCATGGTTAAGGCCAGTGTACTTCATTGCAGGTAACTTTTATGTCTGAGAAAAAGAGAGAGAGAGAGGGAGGGAGAGAGAGAGAGAGAGAGAGAGAGAGAGAGAGAGAGAGAGAGGGCAGGAAGGAAAGGATGGTTCAAAGAAAGAGGTGGAGGGAGAAAGTAGAAAAGGGAGGAAAGAAGTAGGAAAGGAAGGAGGAGAAAAAGAAAGAAAAACTAAGACAGATGGAAGGAAAGAAAGAGGGAAAGAAGAAAGGAAGAAAAGATTCATAAATATTGAACTCTGTATTTGTCTTCAGCTTGATTTCAAATGATGCTAAAAAAGATTGGGGAACTGATAGGGAGAGTTTGGGGGTAAAATTCATGTGAGTGTGTGAGTATTCACTGAGCAATTCTTTCAACTTTCCTGTATGTTTGGAACTTTTTGTTAATAAAATATGTGGAGTGAGAGGAAGAAATTTGATTCTACATTTTAGAAGTCAGGTTTCAGAGTCAATGATGTTAGTGCCGGGGAGGTGCCAGAAGGAATTTCACACAGAAAAGTGTGTGCCTTGTTATCACGCTGGCCTAAGTTTACCTCTTTAAAAAGTAGTTTTAGTGACATATGGAGTAAATAATTCTTTTTTAAAATAGAATATATTGGCTGTGGCAAAAAATTAAGTTACATCTGTGGATATCCTAATAAAATGGGTCCTTTCCATATTTTTGTAGGTTCTAATTTAAAACTCTTGATTCTGTGGTCTAAAAGATGAAAAAAACAGACGTGAGTATCAATTAAAATCCCTCATATTTGGCTTTGGAATTCAGTAATAGATGCATACTAACTGAGATGAATAATACATGGACTAACCATTAAAGTTGAATCCTACTTTTCTTCCAGATCAGTCCTACTGTGTTCCAAAATCCAACCTGATAGCCGAGAAAAGAAAAGCACAGAATTCACTTCCCGTGATATCCATGATAGTGTGTCAGAGTTAAGCAAAATCATAGAATGCATATTACAATGACTCCCATAAGAGTTTGTTTCATTTATCTACTTGGGAAAACATAATTTGTAATAAAATATAACCAATGTATTCTGGAATTGTGTGTAAAATTCCTGTTGTAATGGGTTGTTATTTTGGTGGCCTCCCATAAACTATGCCTCCCTGTTTTTAAGGCCTTGTGTAATCTCCTCAATCTGAATCCATGGAGTTCTATTGCCCTTGAATCTTCCATGATATGAGGAAGCACCTCAATCCATGTGGAGAAGTCCATATGCAGGATAACTGAGGCCTTGGCTGACCATAACAGCTGAATTCTCAGTGCACGATCATCAACCACCTGCTATATGCAAGAGACCATTATGGGCCTTCCTTGTGTCCAAATCAACACTGTCTGGGTAGAGAACTGTCAGGTCAACTCATAGCACTGTGAGCAATAATAAATTACTCTTGATGCTAAGTCACTAACTTGTCGGGTGGTTTGTTACACAGAATTAAATATCTGAAGCATATGTTTAAAATAAAATCTGCAGCTTCAAAAGACATTTTACAATAGAAGGAGGTATCTTAGAGTTATTTTATTCTTAGATCTCTGCCTACAGTCTGCATACTTGAGTGAAGATGTCTGAGAAGCAGTTCCTTAGAATACAATTCACAAACAGATAATCTCCGACATTTGGGTATATTTCCTAGTTATTATAGGATCAATAGGAGATTTGTATCATAAGCCTTTGTTAGATGACCAGGGAAAAGCATTTCTAAATCATGCCTATACTGGTACTCAAGTGACTGCTAATGGGATCATTAGAGTACACCTTGGAAGCAGGAATAGCATTTATATCTGACACTCTGCTCTAGGTCCTTTTTAAAATTTTTTTCTCAAATTCTTGCTCTTGCACCTAAGAGACTCGATTCAAGTCATCACTATATCTGATCCTAGAGAGCTAGAAGAAATAAGGAAGGTGTGGTCTATATTTGCTTTACTTAGAACAAACAGTCTAAAGCTAAAGCCAAGAAACGGGTTCTCACTCCAGTAGTTCATCAAATGGTTTATTTTATAGAATGGCCCTTAGGATCTCCCTCCCAGATTAAATACCTGAATGCAACATAATGAATGAGCCCAGCCTGGCTCAGAACCTGTCCCATGAGGATGGTAAGGGTCACAGTCACAAGCACTGATCAGCATTACTACCATGGGGCCCATCGCCCAGCATCACCATGTTCTACTGATTAAGAGGTCCTGGGTGATTGGTGACCTAGTGTGGCCAAGGAGAAGCAGGACACAGGAACACAGGACCAGAAGCTACTTACCACAATATGCCAGGTATTATGCTAGGTATGTTATGTGCATTGGGAATCAATGAAGATGGAAGATTCAGAGAAGTTGGGGATTGTCATCCTCATTGTATTCAAACCTCAGTGATAGAGGTAAAGGGCTAAACACAGCAGCTGACTTTTACTAACTGGACTCAAAATGTAGTCATTAGAATTTTCATGCTATTAATATTACTTTCAGAGTAGAAACTAAGGCCTGCCGCAGTCTGGCTGGGCACAATTCACGAGCCACTTATCAAGCAGAAATGAACTTTATTTTTAGAACACACACACACACACACACACACACACACGCCACACCACACGAGCTCTTCAGGAATTCCCTCAGAGCCCAACTGCCACCACCTCCCACAAGCCTCTCAACACCCCCCCACTTCTCCTGCTCTTGAGGCCCATTGGCTGGGTCCTGTGGGCAGAGCCAAAAATATCCCCCAGTGAGCAGCTCTGTGGTCTGAAAGGGCGGGGAAACAGCCCAATGAGCATCACTGCAGAGGAGCCAATCAGCTGGCAGCTAGAAGTTTGCTGGGGCCGCTGTGAGTCAATCATTAGCTGGCAGCTGGAAATTTGCTGGCATTTGGAAATTTGCTGGGGCCCATTCGGCTGTGGCTCTCAACAAAGGCCCATTGAGATAATGTGACTTTCCCAAGGCCACTTAGGAGTAAAAATTGTGGGACCAGGATTAAACCCAGTTCTGGTCTGATGCTGCTGACTCTATACCAGCAATAATGAGGGTGCTGTATAATGACAGTTTTTTCCTAAAACTGAATCCTGGTTGCTGTTGTTTAAATATGGTTTATCCCCCAAACCCAGTTCATCCTGAAATTTAATCACCACTGTGAAGTATTTAGAAGCTGGAAACTTAATCTAAGGCATTTTAGAGATGGGGCCTTCAGGAAGTCATTAGGATTAAAGTTATAAGTATGCATACTGGTAGCTTTATAAGAAGAGACAAGACAGATATATGTGTACAGGAGCAAACTCTGTTTCTTGCCATGTCATGCTACCTGGGGTCTCTCTGCTGGCAAGAGGGCTACACCATCTGGTGAGTCCTTGAACCTCTGGAACTGTGAGCTAAATAGATATCCTTTCTTTATAACTCACCCAGGCTGTGGCACTGTATTATAGGCAACATCAAATGGACTAATACACTAGTAATGACTGAGAAAATTATACCCTTAAAATATACCACTAATAATATATTAAAGCTATAACCAAATTTAAAATACAAAAAAAAATATTTTTGAGATCTGCTAAGAGCAACAGAGTATATTAGAATTTTATTAAGGCCTTTAAAAATGTTTCAAAAGATATACTTCAAAAAGTCATTGCTGGGGCTAGGGCTGTTGCTCAATGAGAGACTACTTGCCTAGCATGTCTGAGGTCCTGTGTTCGATCCCCAGCATCACCAAAAAAAAAAAAAAAAAAAAAGTAATTGCTAGAAAGTTGAGGAATAGGCTATTAGCCAACAGATAAAGTTTATGCTTCTCAGGGATTGAAACCAAAGCAGATTTCACAACCAGTGATTTATACTGATAAGCACTCAACTCTTCTTCTATTTTGGGTTAAAGTGGGTGTTTGGGGTCGGTAAACTTCAGAGTGTATGGAGTACTCTAAGGAACTGAGATTTACCCTCTAGGGATTTCCCATAGTGTTGATGGCCAGGTACCTGGGCACCAGGCATAAGTTCTCAGGTGGCTTTGAGGCTGTAGAACTTAGGTTTGAGACTCATCTCTGCCACTTTCTGCCTGGGCTCTGAATATGTTACTTAAACTCTTCAAGTGTCACTTCCCTTATCCATAATAAATTACCTAAAGGTGAAGTTTGATGAGATCATTGTGTATAGAAATACTTAGCACAGGATAAGTCTCAAAAAAAAAAAGATTTTTTCCAGAATTGGGTAATTTCTGTCAATGCATATCTCTCATGTGTGAACACAAGAATTACATTTTCTTGCATTGTTAGTCCTGACTCACTTTTACAACTACATTAGTAATTATCTGAAAAGTAATGAATTTGAGTTTGTTTTGTTTTTTATTCTACTTTGTGGTTTTTCAAGAAGCCCTGAACCTTAAGAAATAGGCTTTGTCATTTCTTGCAACATTTATTAAAATACAAATATTTTCGTATTTTAAATTTGGTTATAGCTTTAATATGTTTTAGTGGTATATTTTAAGGGCATCATTTTCTTAGTCATCACTAGTGAATTATTCCACTAATCAAATGGGACAGAAAATAAAATCACGTGATCCTTTTGTCTATGTAATGTCAGAAAAATAACTTATATCCTCAACTAATGCTAACCAATCATCTTTCCCTTAAGAAAAATAGTTGACCCAGCCCTTCTATAGTTTTCAATTTAAGGGATTTTTTCCCCACTGAAAGCCAAGCCAAAAAGTTAAAATCTATATAACAAAGCAAAGCTGAGAATGGATGCTGCTGTCCCATTGGAGATGGTAGTGTGGTTTTGCTCTTAAATGTCCCTAAAGTCACATGTGTTAAAGGTTTGGTCCCCAGATGATGGCACTGTTGGGAGATGATGGAGCCTGTAGGAGGTGGGGCCTATGGAAGGACATTAAGTCATTGGATGTGTGCCCTTGAATTGGCCCTTGAAGCCCCTTCCTCTTTGTCTTTGTTTCTTGGCTTCTCTAATGTGAGCATTTTCCTCTGCTACATGCTTCTGCTATGATGTACTACCTCACCACTGGCCCAAAAGCAATGGGGCCAAGTGGCCATGAACCCAAGTGGCCATGAACCCAAATGGCCATGAACTCCTGAAACCATGAGCCAGCCAAAATAATTTGTTTCTCTTTTTAGGTTGATTATCTCAGGTGCTTTGTCCCAGATGGCTAACAGATAAAGTCCCTGGAGAGAATGATGGTCAGAAAAGGAAACAGCATCTTGGGCCACTCTCTGGACTTGAACTTAACCATTGCTATATTTGGTCTTGCTGCATGAAGAATACAATATAGCATACAATCAAACTCCAGTAAAGCTGCCTAAAATGTGCTTGGATGTCAAATCATTTTCTTCTTGAAACTCACATCACTTGGCTCCTAGGCCTTAACTAGCTGTTATAAATGATGTTAGAGTATCATTTTTTAATTCCTTGGAAGGCATGAAACTTCTGCAGGGGCTCCTTAATTCCTTGCTAGTCACTTAGAGGTGAGCAGGTCTCAAGGCCGTAGGCCAGGTTCACTCCAGGGGAGGATATAGGCTGATGGGAGATAACCTTAGGTCAACCCCTAAAAATTCCTTGACCCTTAAAACTGACCTATATAAAGTGCCTGGCTTGAGGGGATAAGAAGAAAAGGAGCAATATACCTACACTTGGTTACAAAATGCCAGTTTGAGCTTTTGCAAGAACCGCTTAAATTTCCTGAAATATTATAAATTCTCCTGAAATAAAATGCATGAGAAAGTGCCTCAAGTCATTGATTTTTTTTTTTCTTTTTTGGATGAACCACATATCTTCCGCCCAAGCAAAACTTATTCTTGGGAACAGAGTCCAAGCCCACGCTGAATCTTATCTTTTGTTCCAACCCCACACTTGTTTTACCCTCAGCGAGTTTCGGCAGAAACCGATAGCTAATGCTTTTCATTAAGCCAGTCAAGAAAAATTGCTTACCAGGGTTCACTCCTTCATCAGCCTAATCACACCCATTCACTGTTCCTTTCATATAGACATTTCAAATTCCAACTCAGAGACACACACCACCCAAGAGACATCCGCTTCCTGGCTCCCTCGTCTCCTTTTCATCTTCCCCGGTGAAAAGTATACGGCAGTCCAGAAAACACAAGCTAAGTGAAATCTAGAAGTGAGAACCAATTTTAAGCTGCTGAGAGGTCAAGCCAAGAAGAAAACATTGAGAGAAAGGTAAGAGGAGAAGGTGGAGTAAAAAGAATGACAAGGGTCTGGTCATTTGATTTATCCAAGAAAAGTCCTACAGACTCTAGTGACAGGCCTCAGACACTGCTGTGCAGTGACAGAACAGAAAAACAGCATGTGCACATGGTGCGAAGGGAAAGGCTGTTTGAAGCTGTTCAAGGTGCCAGGTCGAAGTGGAGGCTCCAGAGAGTGGCAGTGGCCTCAGATT